GAGGTGTTGACTGCTGAAGAGGGGGATTGGCCTTCCACATGGAATAATTATTAAGTTTTTTTCAGAAAAAGTGTTGAAGATCTTTTTATTTTCTCATAGAGCATAATAAAACATTTGGGTATAAGAATGTGATTAGGGACCCTGATAGGAAGGAATAAATTCAAGACATTCTCATTCTGGATTTTTGTACAAAGCAGTCTGTCCAAAGGTGTGGAGAAAATCTCATGGAAGGAAAACCAATAATTGGAATGGATCCAACAATCTTTTTATTAAACTGAGTAAGCTACAGTGAGTCACTGGACTCTGCTCATAAAGACTACCAGCTAAAAGGTTCTTATATACAGCAAAGTAGAGAGAGACATTTGCTAAAGATAAAGGAACTGTTTTACTACTGATAAGGGAAACAGATAAAATAATTTCAAAGTTTCACCACATCCTGGGGAGATATCTAGCTATTTGCTTTGAAACGCAGGATTGTTTGCTCTGAAATGCAAGCATGTGCTTGGTTATGAATCTGCTTTGACAATCTGACCCACTATCCTACTTGTAGAGAGGAGGTAATAAACATACTGATTAGAAATGTCCTTGAGAAAGTTACAGCTTTACTGCAAAGGGAGAAAAGATTACATTGGAATGTAGCAGTGGTTACAATACATTCAGAGTTATTCCAGAAGAAGTCAAAGTTACATTCATATTCACTGTGCAATTAACATATATTAACCTGCGATAACCAAAGAAAATCTTCACAGAAGAAAAATAAAGACATTTAAGGCTCTAAACCAGTGATGGCAAACCTATGACACATGTGTCAAAGGTGACACGCCACAACACTTTGAGTGACACGCGAGCATTCACCAACGCCTGACAGCAAGTATTCTCCCTGTTTGAGTTACCAAAGAAACTGAATTTGTTTTACTCGCATTTCATTTTTGTAATTATTTGACGTTTCTTTATAAAATACATAGCACCACACATGGTTGGACTGTATTTTTTTTTTAAATAAATGAATATGTAAAGAATAGGCATTTTCTGAATTTTTGATGTGCCAGGCCCATTGCTGCTCTAAACAGCATAATGACTTTCCAGGGAGCAGATGCCTGGCTATTTCGGTTCATAAATAAAATGCTACCAGTAGATTTTCCATCTATGCAAGAATTCCTGTAAAGATTTTAAGCTAGGTTTTAAAATTTCTAATAGGCATTTCCTTTGATCCTTGGAAAAAGGTATAATGTTTCTTGTACTAAGATTAGATTTATTCGGGAGATTATTTCTTTTGCATGCTGGGTTCCAGAGCTGGGTATGCTATTATTGAACCTATTCTGTGAAGATAAAGTCATGTTGTAATTTTTTTCATACCTGACAAGATGTAATTCTGTCATCTGTTCGCTCAGAACTATGTTCAGCAGGGGGGAAAAAGGTGCCATAGATTAGTTGTTACAGTATCTTGTTTTTTTTACTTGGGAAAGCTAATGCCATTAGAAAATATAATTCTATGCCTTGGAATAGACTTGGTTAGAAGCTGGTATTGGTTAATGGAATGAATCCCTAGAATGGCTGCTTTGTATAAGTGAATGTGTGGTGTTTCTTTAAATTGATGAATCATATTTTAGAATAAACAAATCTAGTGGAATTGAAGAGACATGTTTTACATATAATATCAGTGCCCCCAAGTGGACAAGCAGGAAAACTGCAAAATGAATCCCGATTAATATATAAGTCGATATTGATATAAGATTTGCTTTGTTATTTTTCTAATGTTTCAGCTATACTCCAAAAGATTTCTAATAATTATTCTAAGGATAATGTGCATTAGTTTAATCATAATTTATATATCATACAGTTTAATAATCTGCAAACAATTGTAATGTGAGTATACTTATTTCAAGTGTAGCAAAGTAATTTGAATTCATATTTTTGTTTCAGTGTTAAAGCAATACATTTCATAGCAGAAATTAATATCCTGTATAACATTTTTAAAGAATACACATTTCCTTACTAGAATATTTATATACTATTTTTCAGGCCAGTTGTATAATTCTATTCTGTTATGAGCTCATAACTATTATGAGAAAACAGATTTAGAAGGAAAACCTTAATGAGGAGTGTAGAGTGCAGTGTGAGTCTCACGCCAGGTCACTCAAAAAAATCCCACTTTTGTCATTTTGATGACCATTTTAAATGCAACAAACTGTCAGCAGAGTTTTTACATGTTGATCCAACCTGCCAATACCCATCTTTGTTTAATCATAAAATTACTTAGTGTAACTGTTCCAAGCTCTTCTGGAAAATAATCCTCTTCCAGTTTTTCTGTACAATGTTTGCTGGAGATATAGCAAAGGTGAACAAACCCTGGCTTTTATCACAGTAAGAGAAGAACCATGTTAATCTATGGTGGCAAAAAATCAGGAATGTGGTAGCACATTTTCCAATTAACAAAATTATTAAAAGACGTAAGCTTTTGTGGGCTGCAGTTACCAAACTCTTGATTTTTATCTGGGTTCAGGAATGTCTTATATCAGTAGAAGAAGACACTCAGGCATTCAGGCTGGAAAAAATTACATGTCCTTGTTTTAAAGTAGGCAGCAGCAACACAGATAGAACCTTATACCCCTTCCAGATTAATTCATGGCAGAGCATTTCACAGAAGAGGGCACAGAATAAAGATGCTATTGGATTAAGGAAAGACCTGGATAATTTAGCAGCAGCTGGCATAACTGTTGGATATAATGCTCAACTGCTTTTAAAACCAATGATGCAAATTGCTCTGTAGAAAGAAATGGAGGGGCGTTTAGCAATTAAGGGTGTTAAATCTTCACTAGTCATAGAAGCTTACTTCATAAGACAGTTATTCCATTGAAGAACAGTTCTTATCTATAAAATAATTTGGAAATCAGATTAACAGTAAATTATTCTATGTTGGTTGGCCTTCTTTGCTTTTTAAATTGATATTTTGTGTATTTTAGATTAGCTACTGTGTTCCTTAAAAGATTGATTTAAGGGTACTTATAAAAGAAAAGATAGTATATAAAAATATATACTGAGTCTCAGTGCTGCTGTTTCTCAGCAAGATAAACTGAGCAAAATATTTTATCACACCTGGATTATAATTACTACTTCTTAACCTCACTTGTGTTAAAGATGAAACATCTGATCCTGTACTGTATGGAAAACCTAATTCATGGATGGCAACAAAAATTGCTTCAGATATATTCAAAAGGAAAGAAAAAAAAACTATTGGCTGCTCAATAATGATGGTAAAAGGGTAACAGATAACAAAGAAAAAGCAGTGCTACTGAATTTATATTTTGTCTCTGTTTTCTCCAACAAGAAATTATGTGTTGCAGTCTCAAGAATAGCAGGGTCAGGATTGAAGCTTCAGACTGATAAAAGCATGGCTGGGAAATAACCTATTTACTTTAAACAAGTTTACATCTTCAGGGCCATATGCATTGTATTGAAGGTACAGAAAGAACTTCCTGATAGCTTGGCTGAACCATTTTGCATTACTTTTGAGAACTATTAGACAACTGGCAAAGTGCCCAATGGCTGGAAGAGAACAAATGTCATCTGGATGGCATGCAAGTGGATATACAGCTGGCTTGAAAAATTGTAAAAGTCCTCATCAGTGTGTAGCAATATACCATTTAAGTGCCACAAGGTTCAGTTCTGGATGTTGTACTTAAACATTTTATTATTGAGTTGAGTGAAGAGGTAGAGGCAATGTTTATCATATTTGAAAATGATGCAAAATTGGATGGAATAGCTAATATCTTGGAAGATAGATTAGAAAGCAAAATGATCATGATAAGTTAGCAAAAGGGTCTGAAAATGACAGTATGCAATTTGACAGATTCAGAATTCTTCATTTAAGAAATAATGCATAGATATAAGATGGAAGATACCTGGCTTAGCAAAAGATTTTGGAATAGTAGTTGATCGAAAGTTGAATACAAGTCAGCAGTGTGATGTAGTTGCCAAAAATGCAAATACAGGTTTAGGCTGCCTCAATAGAATCATTTCCAAAGTAATAATTCCACTTGATTCTGCATTGGTCAGACCTAGCCACCAATACCTAGCCTCCAGTTTTGAGTTACCACATTTTGAGAAGATTCTAAAGAGATGTGGGCAATCTTTCTTTGGCTTGGTCTGTTATTTTGCGTTGGATGGAAAAGCGCTATAGCAGGTAACATGATAACATATAAATGGGTGGGAGAAGATTATGGAGAGACCTGTTTTATGCTATGTTCTCAGTGGTAGGGGATCATACCTCTTTAGCAGTTTTCTGTTAGATTTAGTGGCACAATTTAGTATTTGAGGCTCCTTTATTGAATTAGGTACACCATTCATCTAGATCTTTGGTAGAAATATTATCCAAGCCCAGGTCCCTAAATGCAAATCTCTATGCTCTGTTAATAGCAAAGCTATAATCACACAAGGTGTAGATGATGTAATAGCAGATATCATCAGGAAAATATGTACATCAGCATTGTCTTAATGTTAATCTATATCCTGTCATATTGCTGCAATAATGGTTATATAGTTTTCCCACCTTTCCTATGGGAGCTTGCTGTGATTCATTTGGCAGGGTTCATTTTGTCTGTGCCAACAACCTTGTGAGAAAGGGCTGGACTGAGGAAATGGAGGTTGGCCTGAAGTCCAACAACAAGCCTTATGGTCAAATAGGGACATGAACCTGGATCTCCCAAGTTTCAAACCAACCCCTTAATTATTTTACACTGAGATTATCCTCAATAAGTTCATGACATTGTTGTCAATGTAAGTTTCCATTGTGTAAATGGACTACCATGTCAAATATAACCTGTACTTCTGACATGCTTTCAGCACTATTTTAGATAGGTTAAATCAGTATAATGCTTTTTATATTCTAAAACTATTTCTTATTTATAATGGTTTAACAAGCACAATTTTAATAATTTAATACAATTTTTGCATTCAGTGAAATATTGTTGTCTCAAAACTAATGTTTTCTGTTCTCCCAGACATTGCTATGAAGATAATTGCTGTTATGCTGCAAGTACTAGGGACATGTTGCAACTAAATACATTTGTATTTATTGAGACTTTCAACAGAATTCCCATATTTATGATTAAGTGTAAGTTCCCTTTAATCATATATTATGGCATAGTGATAGGGGATCTTTTTGAATGCCTGCCTACTCTTGGTGGAAGGGTAGTCAAGAGAAATAGTATGTCTGGATTTGATGTTACTTATCTCTAGTATTTTTCTACCATGACTCATAAGAACTGTTTTGTAAGAACCAGGTAGTGTCTTTGTGCAAGAGAGCATGTTTGTATCTAGTTCTATGAAAATTAATTGGAAATAGAGACAAAAATGATTATTGATTGATTATGTGCCTTCAAGTCAGTATCAACTTTTAGTGACTATATAGATTGATTTTCTCCATGAGAAAGACATACATTATATGTTATTAATGGGATTTAAAGTTTATTGTCCTGCAAGAAAGAATGTATTGAAATCTAATGAATTAGGTTTCTTCTTATTTATATGACTAAGGGATAAAACGAATTGTTGCACAAGTGAAGGATGAATCCTTTTTAGTTTGCTTATTATCATAGTATGTTATTCTTTGGTGAGACGCTGAAGTGGTATAAGGCGAATAACTGATTTACAATTCCATATCTAGTAACTTGAGCTCTATCTAGATATATATTTGTTTTTAAAAAGAACATTAACATTTTGTTTCTTTTTCACAGACTATAAAGCCAGAACATCTGTGACCTTAGTACTTGGAATATTCATCCTCTGGGATAATTGTTTTGAAGTTGTGCTATAGGATAAATGCCTTGAGAAACACAACATGATGAATGTACAGCACTGAAACCTTGAAATCTTTGTACTGACTGAGGAATTACAATGTTTGCTTTGTGAACAAAGACTATTTTGTAGTGGACAAAACATTTGAAAATGCGGCCATGGACTGGCTCATGGCGATGGATTATGCTCATCCTTTTTGCTTGGGGGACCTTGCTCTTTTACATAGGTGGACACTTAGTACGAGACAGTGAGCATCCAGACCACTCTAGTCGTGAACTGTCAAAAATACTAGCGAAACTTGAACGGTTGAAACAGCAAAATGAAGATTTAAGACGAATGGCAGAGTCTCTCAGGTAGGCTTTTTAAATCTTCCTCAGAATATGAGTATTCTGGAATTTCATTGTCTATAAACAAGAGTAAGGACAAAACTGAATTCATTAGGAAATAATTTTCTGACAGATCCTGCAAGAATGTATTTAGAACTATACACATATTCTGGAATAACTATTTTTTCTGGCATATATTATTTTTTCAAGGATAGAAGCTATGACAACAGTGTGGTTGTCAGATAGTTTAATATGGATTTTTTTTACGACATTTCTGAAAGTTAACAGTGGGGTCTTGGAGCTAACTGAGAATTTAAAAATCCTAGATATTAATTTTAGGCTACAGTACAACTTTGTACTCTCAGTTTTAGGGATGTGCAGCTATGCTGTGCTTACGATTGTGGCCAAAAGTATGGCACCCCTCAACTTTTTCCCAAAGAATCCCTGTTTGTCATGAAATAAGTTGACACACAAGTAAGTGGCATCCATAATTCTTTATTTCTAAGTCCGTAGAGCAGATACTTCTGCATTGATTTTTTTCTTTCCCTTCTTCGTTTGTATTTTAGTTTATATTTTTAATCTTTTTAAAAGTTTCTTCTTTTTTAAGTTTAAATATTGTTTCCTTACAAAAAAATAAAGATACTAAATAAATAACTCAAGGTCTATGTAATGAGCTGCCACCTGTTGATCCCAAATCCAGTAACTTTCCTTGCAACCAATATTGATTCAAAAGAAA